AACGAGCTGATTAATGATGGAGACTATGATGAGAATGCGCTGCCTGTGCAAGACACAGACGCAAATGGTCCTCCCAGCCATTACCAACATCCAGAAGGCTTCATGTTATCCCGACGGGTATTGCCACCAACAACCTTGGGAAGAGGCACTGTTTTGAGATTAGCAAACAAACATGAATTTGGAGTTGACACTTGTCCTTGTCAAAACAAAGTATGTGGGAGAGAGAGAGAGAGATCATGCCGTGCACTGCAGGCTGCACATCTGTCCAGCACAAGGCGGTAAATTTGCTTCACAGTATATTGCTGGAAGTGGGTAGTGATCCACTTCTTATTGAAGAGTATTGTGCCCAAGTAATTGGGTGTTTGAGCGATCAAGGACTGACTGTGAAGTAGCGGTCGCATGTGCATGTGAGTCTGAGTGGGCCTTGTTTATTTTTGTCCTGCAAAGGAACAGAGCTGCTTCTGGGTGAGCTGCCAAAGTTAGACACTACCAAGTTGAATCAAGATGATGCAAATGCATTAGAGCTTGGTCCTCGTGCAGTTGACAATGCGTTCACTGGCGGTGTGAAAGCATTGGGCTACAAGGCAAATCCTCAAGCAGTGCCTTGTCTATAGTTGTTTCCCTTCATTCAGCCATTGAGCTGAAAACATTGTATTGAACGTTGATTTTTGGCTGCCTGGCTGACACTCAGACAGTGGGATTTGATATGGCCTTCGCTGATGAGCTATCGGTGCAAGATTTGCCACGACCCAGTCCCATACCAAGCTAGTCACTGATCAATGACATTTCATGAATCTAACAAATGCTTGGGGGGGTCACCAGTCAAGGAGATGTGGTGGTGTTGGCGGCAGATGAAGATAAGTTGGAGTCAGCGCCATCCAAAGATAGAGACAATGTCTGGATCTTGTTCCACTTGTTACACCTTGCACATGGTTGTGTTGCTGTGGATCACTGTGCTTTTCATATTGTTTTCATGCCAAGTCTGAGGCTGACAATGGTGCTGGAAGCAATGACGACCTGAAAGAATTCAGCAGGACGTGCTGTGTCACCAATAATCAACAAACACGATTTGGTGTTGCGGCAACTCGCATGTCAAACTTGTATGGTCGTCGAATGGGTTCGCATTCACCATTAGGTTTCCGAATGCCTTCATCATTGCTGGGTTCAAGCATATCAGCAACAACCTCATGGCCAGCAGTCTTGGAAAAATGAATTGGTGTGGTTCTCAGACATTCTCAGAACTACATTCCAAAATGATTAAATGATTTGGTAAGTGTTTGCTTGTTCTGTGCAATCATTCGCTTTATTTGTCCAACTCTCCTTCAATCAACATTTGGAGTCTGGAGCAGCATTATTGCCAACACTTGCTAAGTTGGGAGAGCTTTTTGCAGTCCCTGCGTGACACGGAGAAACTATTATCCCGTCCCTATACCCGGGAACAGTTCATGGCTACATGTGCGCCCAAGGCAGACCAAAGCATTTTTGAAACATTTTCAGCCAAATTGAAAGGACTGAGGTGGGAGGTTATTGTGAAGTATTGTTCTGAGGAGTCTTAGCTGTGCTTCAGAAATCTATTCTATTTGAGTATCATTTTGGATTTGGGAATGCGTTTAAGCAATTGTTGTTGGTCTACTGGGAAGACTGTCCATATGGGATATCTGATATCTAAAATGATTTGATGTTCTTGCTAAGATGCTTCGCATCGAAGAGCCCCTGAGAAAGCATTGGAGCAAGCAGAAATTCTCCAAGTCTGAGATGAATCAGAAAAAACTGCCTGCCGGCTTGGACCTGGAGTTTGGGTTCCCTGGATGGCATTAAATCAATAAATTTCAACAAGAACAATGACCTGATCTGATGTTGCAATGTTTCTTTTAGGTATGGTGAGTCTGGTGTTTGTTCAACCAACCAGGCTGAATGTGGAGGCGGTTGACAGTGCCTTGAAGTCCCCAACGTTCTGGCCCAAATTACGGATGACTATGGAGCTGGCAGAGGAAGCAGAGTATGCAGGAAGATGGGCAGAAGGTTGCCATCGCCATGAATCTGAATTGTTGGAGTTTGCTGCTTCCCAGGCACATTTTTGGTGAAGCTGTTTTTCATCAAGTCTTGAACACTCTGGCTCCACCTCACTGCAGTCACTCCACCCTGGCCACACTCTTCCTTGTTTGCTTCTGTCGTTCAGGCGGAGCTACGAGTGGTACACCATCGACATGGATGCGCTCGAATGATGTCGAGGAAGACTGTGGATGGATTGAAGTCAGCCCTTGATTGCCCATGGCGTTGCTGTCGTGCAGCTGAGCTTGCGTCTGGATGTTTCTTGAAACGGTTAAAGAGCAGGATGCCACTTGATTCATGTATGGCATGTTTTTTCATGGGTTGTTCTCTTGTGGGGATGGAACATGGAGCTGAAACTTTTTGAGGCAGCATTGATGACACAATGGTTGATGTTTCTACTTTTCTTGTTGTATCAACAAAAAACACACTAATCACACTGGATTACCAGATTAGGTTTTATGCGCTTCATAAGCGGAAGTTAGAAGTTTAGTGGAATGTTGAGGTTCAAACTGTTGCGCAAACTTTTCTTGTAATCTATTGAATCAACATGTCATGCCTATGGCATGGCCCATGCCCGCTGCGTTGTTGTCACAGGAAAGAATCGCAGAGCTACTTCTTGCAATGCGTCAGCGAACTTACACAATCTGTGAAGGAAGACGACCATGTTGAGGTACGCAATCTTTATGATGATTTCCAAGCAGCGCAAGGTCGTATTTGGTCAGAGTCGGTAGCCAAACTTAGCTACTTCCATCAGTTGCCATGGAAGATCATTCACATGAGCCACCATGATGCACGTGAACAAGTCCTGGGAGCACAGGAGTGCTTGAGATTATGGAATGAAAATTCACCAGGAAAATGGCACATGCAATCAAGGCGCTTTCTCGAACCAGGTTTTCCAAATGGGTTCAGGAAGCTTGTGGAAAGACTCGCGGCTGGCCAGCCAATTTGGGACGACACAATGCAACCGCTGAGGGCTTATCTAGCAAGAATTAGCTGCTTGCGCATTGCAGAAAGAACAGTTGAAGGAGTGCACAGCGTGGTGACACGTGTGTACAAGCGGGCTCCTCGTGCATCCCTCCCATATATAAGCCTGGAACTACGATTCAAAGACTTTTGCCAGGCTGTTACGAATGAGCCAACTGTAGCTGAGCGAGGTGCATTAAAGTTTTCTGTGGTCAGGAGTCAGTTGTCAGTAGTCATTCCTTTTGGGTGGTGTTTACTATGTTTACCCTGATTGTCGTTGTCCAGTCCAGTCCCGCCTTTGGCAAAGGTCGTGCCACAACTAGCACAAGACTTGTGGGGCTTTGAACGACTTGCTGGCTTTCGAAACACAGTTGTGTCAGGAACTTAGTTGACAAACTATGTAGAGTGGATGAGCCTGTAGAAACAGTTGTGCAGGTCATGTGTTTGTATGCTTGTGTGCATGTGCCTGTTTTCAAAACAACATACTGTAATGCACTGCACTTGCACGTTTTCTGTTGCGAGGAACACGCTGGGGCTCCAATTGTCACCTCAGATTGGAATGCTACCTTTTCACAAGGTTGCGGCACTTCTCTATCGGGACAATGTGGACCAAAAGCATGGCGAGCGTGGTCGGCTTCTTGAAGAGATTGAAGACAAAAAAAAAGGTGAAACAGCGAAGCGAAAGGCAATGCTGAAGGACAGACAAGACCAGCGACAGCCGCTAGATGATTGTGCTCAAACGATGGTCAGTCACCTGCTTTCAGTGGCTTGAAGCAGAAACCTGAATGTTTCCCATACATTACACATGAACTCTTGTTGCTTTGTGGTTGCAGAATAGAGTTAAAGCTTTCAAGTCCTTTCTAAGTTTCTAAGTCTCACTGACAGACTTGAAGTTCACTCAAAAGGTAAGTAGGTGGTCAGCAAAGCCAGCAGCCAAGTTTGTCCATTGCCTTGCCAAGGTAGCTAGACAAGACACAGGTGTCATATTTTCCATGCCGAAAGCCTTGCTATCTGCAACAAAGGTCTTGAACAATCAAGGCAGGGCTCAAGTCAAGGCTTTGCTTGATACAGTGTGTTGATCGTCCACCTAGACTTGGTCGACAAACCAGAGAAAGGTCATGGGGCATTTGCAGTTTCTCAGACGTGTGTAACAAAATGGGGGTAACAACAAAATGACTGGTAAAGGTGAAGAATTGTGGAGAGCAGTGTCCACAACTCCAGCTGATTCAGCTGCAGAGATGCTTCAAGATGAGCCTTCCTTCACCGGCGAAAGGGGCGTTGCACCATGGATGTCTTCTGTTGCTGCAAGTTCTGCTGATGATCATACCTTCTTCAGAATTGCAGAAGCTCCCATGACTTCTTCAACTTTCTTGGGTGATACATCAATGATGGACGTAGACTTCTTTGCGCAAACATACTCTGTTGACAAGGAAGAGTGTGATCACAGTGGAGGTCGACAGGTGTATCTTTCTTTGAACAGCTCCATGCTCATTGCAACCAGAATGTATATACAAGTTTCAATGTGTGTTTTTCTTTGGCCATCTGTTGTAAGTGGCGTTATCAGCGCTACCCAGGAGGTGTTCAAATGAAATGTTTAGGTTTGGTGTAGAAAAGCTTTTGGCCAAGTGAAGCAAGCTTAGGCAAAATGGATACTGAATATATATATTTCAACAACACTTTGATTGATATGTGTTGGCAAATGTTGGTGCATGTGCTGCATGTGCGACAAGCAAGTACGTTGCCAAGCGTTGACCAAGGACACGATCAAGCATCATGAACCTTGCATCTCACATGTTTCAAGTATTGATTTGGTCAAGGAGCGAGCACCAGCACATCCGTGTGATTCCACCACATGGCTTGTGACTTGACTTGATTCTTGCTGTGTGCTTAAGTTTTGTATGTTCCAACGTCCAGTCCAACACATTAGTACAGTGGTGCTAGTAGTGCTATACTTATTTCTCGTATTCAATTAGCCCATGGCGCAGGTCTGATTCTGCTCGCGAGTTGCTTGAGACCGTGGCAGTGTCTGGATTAGGCACTGGAGATCGAGGATGTAACATTCCTGAAGGGAAAGAAGGATTGGAGGGGCTGTTGAAAAAGGAGTTGGTTACCAAGCTGGAGTTGGTTGGTCGGTTTGACCACAGCTTCTACAAGTTGACGCAAATGGGTCAAAGGTGTGTTTACCCGTGCTTGAGAGCTTACCACCCGCAGAAACTGTTGAATTTCAAGCGTGAGGGCATATCCTTGGATGACTTTACAACTGCAGAGTTTGTTCTACACTTGGGGTCACAGGGATGGCGAGATGTGCTTTGTTCCAAATTCAAGAAGAGAGAGCCATTCACCTTGACAAACAACAACAAAATCTGGTATCGCGTTGATGGTGTGCAGCTGAACCGCATGTATTTGCATGCTCTTGCTGTGGCGGAGGCGAGGATTAAGGCAGGCAAGATTTCTGGACTTCACCATGGACAGCCCCAAGCGTATTACAAAGCAGTGATAGCTGGTGCAAACAATGTGCTTCCAAATCAACCCCTGGCTTATTACAAAATGCTCACGGCACAAGCAGCTGACGGCAATGACCAACAAGCACGAGGAGCAAGCCCAACAGTGGAACCACAATCAGCTTCACATGACTGGGTTGACGAGATGGACGGCGGTAGCTAGTCTGATTCTAAATGGGTTTGGACAAATCACTAAACTTTTGAGAAGTGAGTATGTATTATTATTGTGCAAAAAAAACTATGTCTCCATGTCGTTTTATGTAGTCGCCAGCACAAACCAAGGCATTGGCTCAGTTGACTCCAAAACCATTCAGGCCAAGACTGCCAAGAGTGGGCAAGACATCATTTGCATCGGAGACAGTGACGATGACGACTTAGACTACACAGCAATGGGTGATGTGAAGGAAGAGCCTGGCATTGAAGAACATGTTGGCGGCCCTGACTGTGATACACCTTTACATGAAGCGATGGCAGCTGAGTCAGAGGAGCAAAACATACTTCCTGTTTCAAAGCGTCTGCGTTCTGAAGATTCATATGACCTTGCGAATGTGGGCAATCCTTCTCGTCCTGGCACTGGACTTGAAGCTGAGCAAACCATACTTCCTGGACCTCCTGATGATGCAACGCGTGTGCATTCTGAAGCTACACATGACCTTTCGAATATGGACAATTCTTCTTCTCCTGGTACTGGACTTGGTACTGACGGTACTGAGCACATCAATTCTGGTGCTGAAAGAGAAGCAGTGCCAGCCTCCAGCAGCATTGCTCAACCTGCTGTGGAAGTTCAAGAATTACAGCCAAGGACAAGGACAGAGACAGGGAGAACCATTTCTCGTGGTGATGGAAGTGGTGGCCAGAAAGTTTATTCTTCGCTACAGGATGTGCTTCTTCCTCTTTCACCACCTGGTTGTGTCATC